ATTTTGTAAGTTTAAAGCATTTGGCAGAAAAAGAAATGGCACACGGAATTACAGCGAAAGTTACTGAACGTCTAATAGCAAAAAAACTTTTAAATGTTATAACTGCGGTCGTAGAGGTCATTATGCAGCACAGTGCAAGGAAAGAGACTCGAAAAGAGAAAATAAACAGACGTCGTTCTTTGTATTCACATAATCGACTTCGAACATGTTGGATTGCAATACATGGTGCATTGATAGTGGGGCATCCTCTCATTTATGCTGTAAAAGAGATTTGTTTCTAACTTTCCAAAAATTCGATGAGGTGATCACACTTGCAGGAGAAAACACAATTCGTGCAGAAGGTATGGGCAATGTGCAGATAAAAACTAACGACTTTGACGTGACCCTCAAACGAGTTCTTTATGTGCCTGGAATTCAATGCAATTTTATTTCTGTTGGAAGAGCTGTCCAGAACAATCTGAGAGTTAATTTCTCAAGTAAATATGCAAGCATAACATATGCAAAGGGTGACATTATACTTGAAGCGCGAAAAATCGATAGTTTATTTTTGTACAAAGTGACTGGCAACAATTTGTTTATTGCACGGAAATCATGTGCAGATTCTATGAGGTGGCATACGCGATATGGTCACCTTAATTTTGTAAGTTTAAAGCATTTGGCAGAAAAAGAAATGGCACACGGAATTACAGCGAAAGTTACTGAACGTCTAATAGCAAAAAAACTTTTAAATGTTATAACTGCGGTCGTAGAGGTCATTATGCAGCACAGTGCAAGGAAAGAGACTCGAAAAGAGAAAATAAACAGACGTCGTTCTTTGTATTCACATAATCGACTTCGAACATGTTGGATTGCAATACATGGTGCATTGATAGTGGGGCATCCTCTCATTTATGCTGTAAAAGAGATTTGTTTCTAACTTTCCAAAAATTCGATGAGGTGATCACACTTGCAGGAGAAAACACAATTCGTGCAGAAGGTATGGGCAATGTGCAGATAAAAACTAACGACTTTGACGTGACCCTCAAACGAGTTCTTTATGTGCCTGGAATTCAATGCAATTTTATTTCTGTTGGAAGAGCTGTCCAGAACAATCTGAGAGTTAATTTCTCAAGTAAATATGCAAGCATAACATATGCAAAGGGTGACATTATACTTGAAGCGCGAAAAATCGATAGTTTATTTTTGTACAAAGTGACTGGCAACAATTTGTTTATTGCACAGAAATCATGTGCAGATTCTATAAGGTGGCATACGCGATATGGTCACCTTAATTTTGTAAGTTTAAAGCAATTGGCAGAAAAAGAAATGGCACACGGAATTACAGCGAAAGTTACTGAACGTCTGGATTGCGATGTGTGTTTAAAAAGCAAGTGCGCTGCAAAGCCGTTTCCAACTTCAACCAGTAGAGGCACTGAAAATTTTTACTTACGGATTTATGCGGACCGGAGTAAAACGTCAAACGGGGGGGCACGCTATTTCTTGACTTTTGTTGACGATTGGTCTAGATTCGTTTTCGTATACTTTCTGCAAAGTAAAGATCAAGTCTTTGAAAAATTTAAATTGTTCCAGATGGAAAATAAAATTAAGATTTTACGCAGTGACAACGGCACTGAATTCGTGAATAATGCATTTAGTGAATATTTACAGAAATGTGGTATTAAAAGGCAGCTTACCGGTCCACATACTCCTCAGCAGAACGGCGTGGCTGAGCGCTTTAATTGCACTCTTGTTGAAATGGCAAGATGTATGATTGTTGGTGCCGGAGTTAATGAATCCTTGTGGGCAGAGGCGATAAACACAGCCGCAGACTTGCGAAACAGATCGCCTACAAAAGCGTTAGATGACAAAACCCCGTATGAGCTTTGGTTTAAGAAGAAACCGAATGTGTCCGACTTAAAAGTTTTTGGATCAACAGCCGTTGCTTTAGACAAGACTCAGCATAAGAAATTTAAGCAAAGAGGTACAGATTGTTTGAAAAATCTTCGGGCAAAATCATCGTTAGTCGAGATGTTTACTTTATTGAAAATACTGAAAAGAAAGAAGTTGTAGATTTAGTATTTGAGTCAAGATTTCCCGATATAGGGAATCAAACCGAGGGCGCAGGAGAAAAAGAAACACAGCCTATAAAAGAAGAGCACGATCAACCAGTCGGCAGAAGTGACAGCGAGTTCTAGTCCGCGGAGGAAGACATGGATGACAAAGAAGGTACACCCAAGATAGGACCTGGACGACCAAAACTTAATCGCGAAGGCGGGCCAGGAAGACGAAGAAAGCAATACAACGTTCTGAATTTCATAAGCGCAGATCACATTCCTATTCCTGAAAAGTTTCAAGAAGCATTATCTAGTAAGTACTCGCGTGAATGGTGGGAAGCTATACAAGGTTAGTACAACTCTCTCTTAAATAATAATACGTGGTACTTAACCGAGCTGTCGAAAGGGCAAAGGCTATAGGCTGCAAGTAGGTGTTTACCCTCAAACGCGATAAAAATGGTGCAGTAGGACGGTTTAAAGCGAGATTAGTAGCAAAAGGCTGTCTGTCCTGTCCTAGACGCATTAAGCGGCTAGTGCCTCCTTCAGCTCCTGTAGAGCCCGCATCGCCTCATGAACCAGGATGCTGGTGACTTTACCCCGATAGGAGGCAGTTTGTAGCCCACGGGCGGTGCGTCGAACGGTGCGTTTTCCATTTGCGGACTCTGAGGTATTGTGTCCGAGGTGCTTGGAGCGCGGTGGTGTACGCCCTGATCCCCCACTTTGTGGAGCGTTTCTATTTTTGGTTGGACGAGGCGTTTGGGGGGCTGCACTACGGAGTTCGGCTTCGTGCGGCGAGCTGCCGGTGTACTATTTCGGTGTAAGAGTGTGTGATGTTGTAGCGAGCACATTCTGCACCTACCACTGGATGTGCATTCGGCCGTGATGTGCGACAGAGCCAGACAATTGGTGCAATATTTATGTGCCCTGGCTAACAAAAAGCGTTGTTGCGGCTGCATGCCTACGAATACGGGGCACATTTTTGGGAGTGGTGACGAGTGCACAAGCGACATCGCAGATAGTCCTCCTCGTGGCGATGAGAGCCAGGTGATGGTTCGCCTTCCAGGGAGGGAGTCATTACCACTTTAGACCTGAGCGATGTGCGCGGCGCTGGCGTGGGGGTTCCCCTGTCGTCCATCTGTAAAGAGTTAATATACGGAGACCTTTAGTTTTTCGTATATCACTATATGGGAGGCATAGGAGAGAGATACGAGAAGTATGTATGTATGTGTGGTGTATGAGAAAAGGTGTGCAGCCATTTGGCTGCTTATTCATTTGAGGGTTTTATGGAGTGGCTAATTGGTTTCAATGCGAGAGGGGGAGTCTTCGCTCGAAGGCAGAAATACTAATTTAACTAATGGCCGAGTGAGTAGGCCTGGTTGGGTGCGGACGTTGACCACACGAATGTGTCCATCCTTGCCAGGGTGCAACCTTTCGATGTGGCCCAGGCGCCATTCCGTGGGCGGGAGTGTGTCATCATTAATGACTACGCATTCTCTCATTCTGGGTTCTACTTGAGCATTCTTCCACCTGTGTCGCTTATGAAGGTCTTTAAGGTAGTCTTCCTTCCATCGTTTTGCGAATTGGTATTGCAAGACCTTGACTTTTTCCCATCTATTAATGAGTGAGAGGTTTTCGTGATTCGATTCGGGGAATGAGAGGAGGGGAGCACCCCGGAGGAAGTGGCCAGGAGAGAGCGCTGTAAAGTCCGTCGGGTCTTGGGTGAGTGGAGATATCGGACGAGAATTTAATACAGCTTCTACTTTTATTAAAAGGGTAGTAAACTCCTCAAACGTAAATTTGTGGGGCCTGGCAGTCCTTTTGAAGTAAAGTTTAAAGCTTTTAATTGCCGACTCCCATAAGCCATCCATGTGTGAGGCGCTGGGAGGGATAAATTGCCAATTAATACCCTGGGGTGAGTATTTTTGGACAACATCGTGGGATAGGAGAAAGACAGAGAACTCCTTTTCAGTGGCTCTTTTGTATCGTATACAAGTTTTGCCATTGTCACTCATAATTTTAGCGGGGTAACCACGGCGACCAACAAAACGAGCCAAGGCGGCGAGAAATGCCTCTTTGGTCAGGTCTGAGCACAGCTCGAGGTGTACCGCCTTTGTTGTAAAGCACACAAAGACGGCCACATAGCCTTTCACTAAAGCGGGGGATCTTAGCATGGAGGCTATTATTTGAAAAGGCCCAGCAAAATCGACACCGGTGGTGGTGAAGGGCGGAGCGAAGGTGCATCGTCCGGGCGGCAGGGCAGCCCTAATCTGCGAGCGCATATGCTGTTTGTGAATGGTGCATGATTTACATTGATAAATGCATTTTTCGATGAGGGTTTGGGCCGGAGAATGTAAAATTCTTGCCTGGTCATCTGCTGCATAAGTCGTACTTCTGCACGGAGGAGTAGATCATGGAGAAACTTTAGATAAAGGAATGCGAATCGGGACTTTTCCAGAATTATAATGGTGTGACGTTCATTATAGCTCCGGGTAGCATGAGCAAGGCGTCCATTGACGCGGAGAACTCCATTTTTATCCAAGAAGGGGTTAAGAACTAATAGTGAACTCTTTTTGTCAATGGGTTTGGAGTCTTCCAAGAGGGCCCTTTCATGGGAGAAATTACGGGTTTGCGTGATTGTAATCAGACGAATTTTGGCGTAGCGGAGATCATCATGTGATAGCGGGGATGATGCGCGGTCATGAGCTCTTGGAGCTTTGTCGTTTAGTCGTCTGATGAACTTGAAGACGTAGGCCATCACTCTCAGGGCTCGAGAGAAAGAGGAAAAACTGTCCAGAACGTCGGGAGCGCACTTCCGGCGGGTTGACATTTCGAACTGGGGGTTTTGACCATTCTTCGGGGGCTTCGATAGCCAATAAGGACAGTTCCACCATAACGAAGACGCTGCTAGGTCTAGTGGCTTGCAACCCCTGTGCCCATATCTGCGGGGTTTTCGCTGCTGCGTACATATCGCCAGGTGGCGTTTCCGACGAGTTCCAAGATCTCCGCGGTGCGATTCGAGACGCACGTTTTCCAAGAGTGGGGTGGTTTTTCTAGCCATGCCAATACAATTTCAGAGTCAGACCATAGTAACAGTTTTCTTTGAGAGAGGTCGAGATGGGACTGGACAGCTGCGACAAGTTTGGCTAAGAGAAGAGCAGCGCAGAGTTCAAGCCGGGGTAAACTAGTAGTTCGAAGGGATGCTACCTTGCCTTTGGAAACCAGAAGATGGGAAGAGGTACTGGAACCATGAGTAGTTCGAACATATACGTTGGCACAATATGCCTTTTCTGAGGCGTCACAGAATCCATGGAGTTCAATATGCTGGTCAGGAATAAAGTTTACCCATCGAGGAATTTGAATGGTCGAGATTGTATGGAGATTGGTTGCGAACTGAGACCATTTAACAAGACGGAGGGGTTCGGCTTTCTCTCGTCCCAGTCAGTTCCGTCGATTCAGAGCTCTTGTAAGAGAATCTTTGCCTGGATCATTATCGGCGTAATCCACCCTGCGGGGTCAAAAAGTTTCGCGACAGAGGAGAGAATCTGTCATTTCGTGCTAGCAGATGAGGCTGGGATGGAGTCGATCGTATAGGAAAACGTGTCTGTGAGCGCATTCCATTGGATCCCTAGAGTCTTTGTGGTACTTACTTTTTCAAACTCGAGAAAATTAGTATCGAGCAAGTCCTCTTTCCTTATATTTTTGAGAATTTCTGGAGGGTTCGCTGTTATTTTCTTTAAGGGAAACCCTGCCGAGTTTAGAGCCTGAATGATTTGGGTGAGAGATTGGGTGGCGATTGTCAGACCGTGGCTGCCAGAGAGTATGTCATCCACATACGTTTCTTAATTCAGAATGGGGGCGGCCATTGGGTAGTTGGTTTTTTCATCTGGTGCTACTTGGTGAAGCGTGCGAATGGCGAGGTAGCGCGCACAGTTTACACCGAATGTGACCGTTTTTAATTTATAATCTTGAATGGGACTGGTTGTGGGTGAACGAAAGATTATTATTTGAAAGTCCTGGTCTTCGGGATGTAGCAGTATTTGTCGGTACATCTTTTCGACATCACCATTAAATACAAATTTATACATTCGCCACTTGAGGATGAGAAGCATCAAATCAGGCTGGAGAGTTGGTCCGGTATATAATACATCGTTGAGAGAGTAACCGGATCCCTTTGATGCATTAAAGACAACTCGTACTTTTGTCGTTCGTTTTTCGGGCTTTATGACCGCATGGTGAGGAAGGTAGAACGACATGTACCTGCCTGAGAGGAATTTTTCTTGGGACACCGTTTCTTCCATGTGGTTAAGGGTGAGGTATTCGTACAGGACATTATCATATGAGGCCTTTAAATCGCCCTTTTTGAGGAGGTTTCTCTCCATTCCGAGAAACGCTGAGGAGCGAGAGTAACCTAAAGAGATTTCTTTGGGGAAACTTGGCTTGAACGGAAGCCTGACCACATAACGACCATCAGAGTTGCGAGAAGTGGTGGATTTATAGAAATCTTCACAAAAGTCGTCTTCAGGGGTGGTAGGCTTGAGGTTTGGAACTTCTTCTAGTTCCCAAAACCGACGCAATTGTGAGTTGAGATGCTCATTAGAAATTTCCTCTATTTGTGTAGAGTATGAAGCTATTTTTTCGTAAATCTGACCACTATGTATCCAACCAAATATTGTCTTTTGAGCTAGCAGAGTTGGTGAGATTTTTTCAATGCCCACCTCGATTATTTGAGGGATGATATCACTGCCTAACACAAGGTCAATCTGGGATGGGGAGTGGCAGTTTGGATCTGCCAGTTCGAGATAAGACCATTTTTCTTTGTGGTCATGATTAAGTGGGAACTTGGGGAGCATTTTTGTCAGCTGTGGTAACACGATAGCTTGAGCATTTATTTTAGTTTGGAGATCGGCGGAGACTAAGACTAAAGAGCATAATTTGTTCGAAGTTTGAACAACTCTTCCACCCATGCCCGAGATTTAGAATTTTGAGGATTTTCAGGGCAGCCCCAGCTTAATTTGGGCTTTGGTGGAGATAAAGCTTCGTTCTGACCCCTGGTCTATGAGAGCTCTGAGTTTAAATATTTCTCCTCGGTGTGATACCGGTACCATAGCTGTAGGGAGGAGTATTTTGCTCTCATTCTCTGAATAGAATGATTGTACCTGAGTTCCTACTGATTCCTGTTCATTAGTGTCTGTTTGGGGTGAAGTTTGCACACTTGAGTTGGTAGAAATTGTGGTTGCCACTTGCGAACTGGTTTTTTGTACTATTGGGAGTTGCCTTTTCGGCATGGAGTTTGTGGCTTCATGGAGCACTGAGTTGTGCTGTTCACTACAATGGCTACAAGTTTGTGTGCTAGGGCAATCTTTCAACAAGTGTGACTGGGATAGACAATTGAAGCACATATTATTTTCCCTTACGAACTTCATGCGATCAGAGATTGACAACTTTCGGAATTTGAAGCAGTTCCACAGCGAATGAGAGGAGTTCTTACACATCGAACATTTGTGCATTATTCGCTGCTCTGTCACGTGAGATTGTATTTGTGACATCGATCTGTTTTGAAAGTTTTGAGAGTGAGGGGGTTAAACAGGTGGTTTGTTATGAGAGAAAGGCGGCTTTGAAGAGCTATTGGGCTGAACAGGAGGTCTCGCCTTCGGCAGGTGCCATTGATCAACTCTTTCGGCCACTTCATAACGAGTAGTGAGGAACTGGTCCATTTGGGTCTTTCCTAGAGCTGAGGGATTGTTCCCACAGGGATACTGTAGTTTCGGGAAGCTTAGAGGTTACTATATAAATAAGGATGGGGTCCCAATTTTCAGTTGAGACTTACTGAGTTGCGAGAATTTGAAGGCAGTTGTTTACTGAAGACTGCAGCCATTGTATGTCTTCGCTGCTTTCGGTGGGAATGGGTTTGAGGTTCATTAAGATTCGTATTTGGTTGTCTACCAAACTACGCTTATTCTCATATCGAGACCGAAGTGCTTCCCATGCGAGATTAAAGCTTTCATCACAGAGAGAGAATTGCTTTACTATTTGGTTGGATTTTCCTTGAGTTTTGTACCTGAGATGGTACAACTTTTGGCTTTGGGTGAGTTCAGGGTGATTTATATATACCGCTGTGAACATATGTCGGAAAGAGGGCTATTGTTCATAACTTCCGTAAAATACTTCGGTGTCACAAGGAGAGACGGTTAAGCCGAGGCCAGACTTGCGTTTGGGTTGTGATGTGGAGGGAGTAGGCATGGGATTGCTCACTTGCTTATGAAGATGGAGTTGGTCAGCGATTTGAGCTTTAGTGTCTTCGTATTGATCGAGAGACCGATATTTGCGAAAAGCACTAGCTTTGAAATCTTCGGGAAGGTATTGCTCGTCTGCCTCTACAACTACATCGTAGGAGTTTTGAACTCGATTCCAAAAATTGTCTAAACTCGTATCTTTTATTTTCAATCTTGATTCTGAGTTATTTTCGAGAGGTAGAGAATCTTGAACAGTAATCGACTAAATTATCAGTCTCTGCAATAAACTTAACGGAGGCCAATTGCCTTTGTTTTTTTGAAGTTTTCCTGCTTGAGCGGGCAGAGCGTTGAGTTTCGATCGCAACGATTTTCTCGTCATCACTCATTTCGGGAATTTGGGATTCTTCATTAATCCCGGAGAAAATTTATAATTTAGTCTGAAAGGACTGGGGTTGAGAGACTGAGAGAAAGAGATGCCTGAGGGAGATTTAAAGAACTCGAGAATACTAAGAATGCAATTAAATTAAATTTTTTTTTTAAGTAAATGCAATTCCTCTTACGGGAATGCCAGAGAATTTAATGCAATTCTTTTTAAAGGAATGCCAGAGAATTAAATATACAGTGATATAATATGAGTAAATAAATAATGAAATGTGTGAGTTTTGCGATTATGTCAGTGCTCGATTGCGAATTAGAGAAAAATTTAGATTTAATTTATTTAATAATTTATTTATTTAACCGTTTTTGAGAATATAGTAATTTCGAGAAACTTGCTCAGCGAATGAAGTGTACGAGATTTTATTGATTTTATGTAAATGCAAGTTTATTTCACGCGACTGTGACCGCAATATTATGTATATGTATATAGGAGGATCACACAGTTGAAGAGCGAGAATGCGCTTCTATTACTTTTGGTAAAATGTAAATTTAATTCGCGCGACTGTAACCAATGGTATTTGTATATAAGCGCCGTCAACTTTTGTTCATTAACTTTATCGCACTGCAAACCGACCACTGTCTCGCACTTTATATATGTAGATATATATGAGATTGTGTGTATATAAGTATGCCTATGTGTTTATATATGTGTGTTTATATGTCGCTTTTGTAATATTGTCTCACTTGTGCACCTTTGTTGTCGTGAAATCGCAACTTTTATTTTAAACAAGGGAAACACTGCTGAGAAAATGTTTAAAATTTATGTATTATTACGAGCAAACGTTCAGGGGAATTTAAGTTTGTATACATAAATATAAATGAGAAATTATATTTGATTTGGTAAAACCGAATGTGGGAGGAGGGGTAATAGAAAATTGCCTATGTACTTGTAAGTAGATATGTATATATATGTGTGGATTGTATGTATAAAACGCTTAAATGGGAAAAAATGTACAAATAGGCGGGAAGAGAAATCAGTACAAATGTACATGCATCTGTATGTATTTACGAGATACGGGATATTGGCTTTCGGAACTTATTTACTCGAAAACTTGGAACTATACATATATGTAAATGCACGATTTTCCAAAAAATTCTTTAACGGGCTGAGGGTGCCGTTTTTTTCGGAAAATAGGCGCACAAGGTTTTTATGAATTTTAGGTTATTTTTTATTATTTGAAATATTTTAACGCAAAACTTGTAAATGTGGATGTTGTAAATACCATGGGAATATGAAGCACTAGGAGAAATATATGCTTACTTACGGTTTGCAATAGGGATTTTTTACTTCCTGCTGGTTCGGGGTCTGCTGGCGCAGAAGGACCAAAATGGCGCGCAGTGGGCTTCCTTGTGGCTATTGGTGGGGCTGCGGGAGGTACAATCTCCAAGTGATCGCCAACGGTGGCAATTTGATAGGCGACACAACTCTTGCGGCGACGGGGTGGCGGTGGTGAACTGACTGCATGGTCTTCGTGGCGATGATGGAGCGGATGGTCACCTGGAGCACTCAAATTTCGCCGGAACACTTCGGCACAACACAAATGGCGTTTGTTGGCGGAAATGAAAGAGTCTACAAATGTATTTAATGGTACTTTATTTGCACGCTTGTTACAAAGCAAATTTACTATAATAAGCCGTACGCGGTTAAATTACAAAACGCGGATGAACTAAATATATGTTCTGAGAGTCTACGGATATTTAAGATTTCGCTTAACTATTTCGCACACGACCACTGCAGCTTTGTGTGGATACCAAAATCGATTGATGAAAAAAAAATATAAACTCATCTGTCAAATGTAAAGCATGTACATACATACAATATGTGTATATAGCGAGTGCTCTTCCTAGCGAATAGCTCCCGCGTTGCCAGCTACTTAATCATAACATACAATAGTGCTTACATAAAGTGTTCACTAAATATAATTCCAAGTGCAATGTATGCAATTTGATAAATATAAATTCAAAGGTATTCAAAAGATACAATGGCAAAAGTTAAAATCATATTAGGTAGATGTTTTAGTACAAATTGAAAAGTAAATACGCATAGTTATGAATGCATACAAATTCAATAAATACATACATAGGGTGCTAGCGTATATATCGCATAGATATGAATGCATACAACTTCAATAAATACATTCAATGAAATACTGTGGACGTGTTTCCGCATTGGTCACTCCAACGCATGGAAATAAGAAGAAACAATGAAACAGGTGAAATTTCACTCACTCAGCAAGCGCAGATAAAACAACTTGTAAGTCAGTATGGGCTAGAAACAAGTCGTTCTGTAGCAACGCCTTTGGAACCGAAGCATCAAGTAAAACGAGATGATATTAACTGCAAAGGGGTTGATCAGCAAAAGTTTCAATCTCTCGTCGGTTCGTTGATATACATCGCTATTCTAACGCGTCCTGGCATTTTACATTCTGGTCGCAGCTCAACGAGTCAAACAAAACATCCAACTTACAACTAAAGTACCAAAAAACTGGTAAGCCAATAACATGTTTCGTAGATGCGGATTGGGGAAGTGACGAAGTTGATCGTAAGTCATGCACTGGATACACGTTTGTTCTGGCTGGTGCGGCTTTCTCTTGGGAATGTAGAAAGCAGCAATCTGTCGCACTGAGCAGCACGGAAGCGGAGTATATGGCTTTATCATCAGCAGCTAAAGAAGCCATTTATACACGCAAATTACTTTGCGATATGGGCATTTATAACGGTGACTCAATAACAATAAATGGTGACAACGTGGGCGCAACGCATCTTGTTAAAAATCCCGTATATCACAACCGAAGCAAACATATTTACATTCGCTTTCATCATGTAAGAGAAGCATACCAGAATGGGAAGATACGGCTGGAATGCTACAACAGCCACGAAATGATCGTGGATATTTTTACTAAGAATTTACCGAAAGTATCTCATGCAAAGTTAACAAAAATATTAGGCTTAAAATGAAATACCTATTACATTTTTATATTGTACAAGTAAATACGTGAGTTCAGGAGGAATGTTGGAAAAAACTGAAGTGCACACACTCTGGCAACCCTCTTATTTACTTCTTCTTCTTCTTTTTGGGCGCTGTAACCGCCTAAGCGATTTTGGCCGAGTTCAGCAAAGCACGCCAGTCGTTTCTCTTCTGTGCCAACTGACGCCAATTGGAAACGCCAAGTGAAGCCAAGTCCTCCTCCACCTGATCTTTCCATCGCAGTGGGGGCCTCCCTCTTCCTCTGCTACCACCAGCGGGTTCCGAGTTGAATACTTTCAGAGCTGGAGCGTCGGTGTCCATTCGAACGACATGACCAAGCCAGCGGAGCCGCTGTATTTTAATTCGCTGCACTATGTCCATATCGTTGTAAAGCTCATACAGCTCATCGTTCCATCGTCTGCGGTACTCGCCGTCGCCAACGCGTAAAGGACCGTAAATCTT